GGCATAAGAAGCCAGTGAGTCCCCGGGGCGCCCGGCTGCGTTGCATTGCGGTACCACAGCCCTGCCGCCAGCAAGGAGGTGAGACGGGCCGGGGGGTGCCAGGGCAGACGGGGTGCTGCCACAGGAGGGGTGGCGCGGGGGGCACCATCGCAGCTCCGAGCTCTGCCCCTGCAGTGGAGGCCAGCGGGGAGCTGAAACTTTCCTCAGCCTTGCGGATGGGAAGCGGGCAGTGCTGCTGGCAGCTGGCTCAGCCTGACGCAGGCAGGGCACAAGCACGCAGAGGGCTATTAGGATGCATGCATGAAGTGCTTCAGGAATATTTGTTACCTGACTGGAAACTACCTTGCGGTTCGGACATTGCTGCACTGGGGGAGGGCATCAGCTTGAGAGTCAGGACATGGGATGAAATGTAGTGCCTTCAGCGTTGGGCCTTGTGGTGGTGGAAGAGGAGTGAGGCTGCAGGGCAGGAGACATTTATCCATGAGGTATGAATTAACCGAATGCCAGACAATAAGGCTTCCCCCCCACCCCCTCCCAGCATCAGCGCATCCAATGGCTTTTGGGAAGGTGGCTTCGCATCTTTCCCTTTTCGATCAGAGTCTCTTTGGTTTGTCTGTGAAATCTGCATGAAATGCTGCAATCCCAGTGATTAACATTCCTGAGAGGGTCTCCAGATCAAGCGCGGGAGAAGAGAGGTTTAGAGGAGATGTGCTTATTTTGTCCCGCTGGCAACTCATCAAAACTGGTTCCTGCCCGGGTTCCCCTGACTGCTCAGGTGGAGACAGGCCTGTGGCCAAGAAAGGCAGAGGCAAGAGCACCTGTGACAGAGGGGACAGCAAAACCTTTCTGAAGCTCCATGTGCAGAAATTAAACCCCTGCCTGTACCTCTCCCAAGCAAGGAGAACAAAGCAATGGCTTAAGCAGTGGGAGCCAAAGAAGAGGTGAAGTGACAACATGCCACTTGCTAGCCAGGTCGGCACATATGGAAAACGCAGGAGCACCTTGCTGGAAGCCGCCAGGGCTTTGCAGCCTCGCCTCATTTTTTCTCCTACGCTCTGCCCACACGGAGACCCAAGGTGCCAAACTCACGTCAGTCCCAGGGGATGTGTCAGCTCCTGGGCATGTGCCAGTCCTATACTGGGCACTCCTTGCCTTGTGGCTCCCCTCTCCTCGAGACCTCCCAGAGGCAGAGCCAAGGTCTCTTGGGATTTTCCTCCCTGAAGTGAGAGCTGCTAGCGGTGCTTTTCAGCAGCGTGTTTTGAGCGCAAGGTCCAGTGTTGGTGATGCCTGGGGGGGGCCCCAGGGTGGCCACGCTTGCAAAGCAAAAGGCATTGCTGGAGCTTGCCCAGGCTAATGCACCCGTTGTTCTTCTGACCTCAGGGCCACACTGCGACCATGTCTGAGCTGGAGAAGGCCATGATTGCCATCATTGATGCCTTCCACCAGTACTCTGGGAAAGAGGGAGACAAGCACAAGCTGAAGAAATCAGAACTGAAGGAGCTCATTAACAATGAGTTGACCCATTTTCTTGGTGTAAGTATTGCCCTCTGTGCAGCACACTTGGCTGAGCTCAGGAAGCCGTATCAAGCAGCTTCTGGGCTCTGCTAACTCCATCTCCCATGGGAAGCAAGCATAGGGGACGGGGCTTATTCATGCAACAGTGCATTAAACACTTCGCTCCAGCTCTGCAGGAGCAGCAGGTGGCAGGACAAGGGCAACAGCCTGTGCTGGGGGCTGGGGTTTGAGTTGGATACTAGGGAAATTTTCCTCCCTGGGAAGGGAGGACAGCCTAGCCCCAAGGGGCTCAAGATGCCCCTTCCCAGCGGCACAGCTGTGGCCGCAATTCCTGCTCCAGGAGGGCTGCTGTTGCGGCTGATGCTGCTGCAGGCGCAGGCTGGTGCCCCAACACAGAGATGGGAAAGAGCAACGAGCTATTTAGGATGTGTCTGAACAGAGATTCAGCCATGACAGCACCTGAGAAGTGGGGACATGTTACTGCCTGGGCCTCACTCTGATCCTCCCCAGCTTTGGCTGCCTGTTTCTATCCCTTCAGGAGATCAAAGACCAGGAGACTGTGGACAAAGTCATGGAGGCACTGGACAGCGATGGGGATGCAGAATGTGACTTCCAGGAGTTTGTAGCCTTCATTGCAATGGTCACCGCTGCTTGCCATGAGTTCTTTGAGCACGAGTGAGCTGGCAGGATGCAGGCAAGCACCTCCTGCTCATGCCAGAGAGATGCACAGCAGCATTGCTCCTCTGGGAAAAAGACTGGGTGCAATTAGGGGCTCCTTGGAGTTAAGCTTGTGCTAGACTTAAGCAGCTTATTAAGTTCTGCAGCTTTGTGAATAAGAAACAACCGCATGGCTCAGGAAAGCCTATCAGCCAGTGCCCACCTAGCTGGATGCGGTGTGCAAATGCCTTGTCTCAAGCTCCTTCCCTGCTGCTGTATGCAAGGGACATGCATGAGTCTGGAGGCAGGTGGATGCTGTGATCCAAGCTTGCTTGCAAAGCAAAAATTGAAATTCAAGGGCTGAAGTAGGAGGTGATGCAGAGGGGCTGGTTACAGAAGCCTGGTTCTGTGCCCACTGGCCTGAACAGAATGGCTCCCATTGATTCCCGTCGGCTCTGACCACCCTATGCTTGGTACTAACCCAGGCAGCACAGCCCCTGGCCCGTCACAGGGCCTCAGCAGAGCCCACACATTTCTTGGCACATTGAGACACCCTTGGCTTGAAAGACAAAGCATAACCATCTAACGGACCAGGCTTTTCTCTTGCCAATGAATCCTCCCACTTTTATCAGCCTGCAGAACTGGAAGTGAAAGTGTATGAGGCTTCTGGGCTGGGGACAGCTTCTGGGCCTGGGATGTGCCTTGGCAAGGTCTCCAGGCTCACTCAGAAGGGAAGGGGGGATCCGCTCAGTGCTTTAATGTAGACTAGGTGCAGCCTCCGGAATTTGTGGAAACGGTGAGAATAAAATGTTGTTTTGGTCTCTGGGCTGCAATTAGTGTCTGGTGAAAAACGCATCCTTTTGTCCCAGGCTGTGTGCAGCTCCCTGGCTTCCCTGCACTGTTGGAGGGGAAGGCTGGAGGACGCAGCCTGAAGCACTGCTATGGCTCACACCCCTGGGTTTCTTGTTGGTCATCGACCCTTCGTCTCCTCCCTGGCATCACTGCGGCTGGCCAAACAGCTCAAGGCTGTCGCCACCAGAATGCTCTGTCTGGATGTCCAAACTGGCAGATGTACCTGTGAGGCCAGAGGAGAGCAATGCAGCTCTGCGGGACTGCTGCTGTTCAGGATGTGTCCACTGCTGCCAGGGGTCATCGAGGGGCTTGCACTGGTGAGTCTTTGCAAAGCCAAAACGAAACCTAGGATAATTTCCCTGAAGCCTATGCTCCTGCCTCTTCCAGTCTTGCACTTGCCATCCAGCTCAGTGATACCTGTGAGTTAGGCATTCATGGCTAGCAACATCTATAAGCAACAAATTCACAACAAAGATGCCTGCAGATGTCACTTTTACCTCATTCCACATTTCATGATTTCATGTGCAAAAAGACATGTCTTAAGACAGGGACCATTTGCTATTCTCATCTGCCTCTCCGAAGCTGTGAAAGGGGACACTCAGGCAGAGACATGCATACAAGAAAGACAACATCTTGTACACCATCTAGAATTGAAAAATCAGTGTTGCCATGCCAGGGTAGTGCTCATTTGCTGAGAAATTGTTTAGCACCCAAGTTACTTCCACCACATTTTTAACATCCTCATCAGTTTCCAACACTTGTATGGACCTGAAGCAGCATGTGAGGACAACAAATAGGGACAGAGTGCCAGCGTGCCCCCAGTGTTAGGCAGGGTAGATAGGACTCGCATGACCCTCTCTTGAGCCTGAACCTGAGTTCAGCAGAGTCTGATGCTTCAGCACAAGGGTCTGTAGGTGAGGCTGTCTGTCAGGTCTCCAAGTCCTACTTGCCTTCTACCTTACCACACTTCACTCCACCTGCTCCCATGAATGAGGAATCCTTCCCAAGACAGCCGTTTCAGCAGCTCTGCAAACATAGCATAGCAGCAGCAAAGGGCTGCAGGTGTAATATGCCACTTGAATGCGGGCAGAAGCGCTGAGACACAGAGCAGGCTGTCCTGTCCCTTGGTGAGCAATGGGGGCAGGAACAGGCAACAACACAGTATGACTGTGCATATTTCTGGCATTAAGGCTGATGCTGACTTAGCAACACCACTGCTGAGAATTCACAGAGGCACAGGACAAGGTGCAGCACAGCTGGTGCCTCTTGTCAGGGAGGAAGAGAGCATGTCTTCCTCTGAGGTGAGCACCCTGGCTGCCAGTGGTGCAGTACACAGTGCTCAGGCTACTGAGCCCCAGACACTCCTCCCCAGTCAGCAAGGAAATGGGAGCTTTCCTGAAGTGACAGTCCCAAAACAGAGACTGCATGGCCACAGGCCTCACTCAGCACCACCCATTCTGTACTGCAGCTCTGCTCCGTTGTGTCCTGCTGCTCTCTGACACAGGCGATGCCTCAGCTGAGAGCACGGACTGTGGGGACAGCCGCACACTGGAGCGGTGGGGGAGGCAGGCAAAGCAGTTTGGGCAACACCAGCCCAAGTACATAGCATGAGGTGCCTCTGCCAACAACTCACCACTGCTGATCCCTCCTGCACACTGTCTCCTCGCACACACAGGCACAGCCACATGCACCACCTCTGCCAACACCCTGGGTCTACACGGGCTGCACAAGCCCCTTGTGTCCAGCCTACAAAAAAGATGCTGCCATGCCAACAAGGGGTTTGAGTAGTGCTGTGAAGGGCTCTGAAGTGTGCGAGCTTTTCTACAGTAAAAAAAGAAAAATCTCTCAAGCCTTGGGGCTGACCATGGAGCAGGTGTCAGAGCTTTGCAAGGCAGGCATCACAGCTGGCTCTGAAGGAGGCTCAAAAGGCTTCAGCAACTCACTAACCTCCCAGCAATGACAGGCTAGGTACTTAAAAGTGCTAGTCCTGACACCACTGGTTTTCAGGCTCTGGCAGGGATAGTTCAGGAAGGGAAGGTGATAGACTCATGACATTACATAATTTTTAGTTATGTCCCCATCCCAGCCAAGTGAATCCGCCTGCTGGATACCCAAGGTGTGTATGCCCTTACAATACCTCTCTGGCACTGGTTAGATTGATCTGACATTGCATCAACCCCAGGAGAACTCACAGAATCCATATTTTTGTCATTAGTGCATACTGGCATGTGACAACCTGCAGAAAGGCTGGTTTGGTAACACAGAGTTCTGGGATCTGTGCCATGGGACCCCCAGGTACCTGGGAGGCTCCCTGAAGATCAAACAGCAGCATTACTGTAGCAGCGCCTACCTGATGTTTGGACACATTTTTGTTACCCTTGTGACTCCCTATAGAAGATGCAAGTGAATTTCCCACCAGGAAGGGCACCAACGTATGGTTTCTCATATTAAATGCCCTGTCAAGACAAGAACTACTTATCAACAGTACTAGAAGTGAAACAAAGAGAAGAAAGTACAGGAGGAGCCCGAGATGTTTGTAACAGACTCAAATTAACTTTGCAAACTAGGAAAGTGACAGATGCGGGCAGATTTAGTACATGCATGCTGTATTGTAGCTCTGCTGAATTACATCTTCATGATTTAAAATGCTGCCATTACTTTTTGCTCTGGAAGGTTAGAACCTGCACTTTTACTCTCTCTGCAGAAGCGCATCTATGAGAGGGAACCCTCTCTCTGGATCAGACACAAACCTACCAGCAGTGGAAAAGCACTTACACACCCCCACAAAAATGTTCTTCCACATAGCATCTAATCTTTCTGGGAGTGCTGAGTATTGCTGTTAGCACATCTAAAAAAATATTCTTCATCTTGTTAACTGTTGATGGAATTGCATTCAGGCTGAATCCATGAATTCAGGCAGAGTCCATGTTCTGACAGCAAGAAAAATAATTTATCTTAAAAAGAAAAACAAAATATGCTTTTTCCACAAATCATCCACAAATCAAAGGTGGACTTTTACAGACACCAGAGAAGGAACATTCCTGACCTGGATGGATGGAGTAAAGCGATTGCGTAAACAAAGCATTGTGCTGCTGGGCTGCATCTCCCACGCATTCAGAACTCCACACTGTAAGCAGTGATGGCACTGAAGTGTGCTCCTCTATCCTGACAGCCTAGTGACATGGAAGCACATTCCTG